CCAAAATCAAACAATGGTAGGTATTGTGGATAGCTCTGAATTACAAGTTTAAGTTTAATTATTACTCTAGGTAATGAGAATCCATGGGAAAACTTAAGAGGGAGAATTATATGTTTCAAGCTAAAATTTAGGAAAATGACTCTGGCAGGACTACAAGAATAATCAGGCAGGCAGCAAAAAGAACCACTGGGAAGTCCCATCCATGCTTGAACCTAAAGTTATAGAAGCAGAAGTTCACTGCAAAGAGACCACAGATGACATTCCCAGGTAGCACCAATAAGATGTGGACTTTGGTTGGTTGTAGTGCCTCCGAGAAAGGCAAGACCCAGTGTTGCCTCTGAGATCGGACCCTGAATCATTTTTAAATGAGCAGCAGTGTTAAAGAAACATCTACTTGCATATGTTCCTACGGGGCAGAGTGGCTAGTTTGGGAAGAAGAATAGGACGTTCTATTTGGACTCATTCATTGGCTTAGAGTGCACTAAGGGTACAAGCAGGAAATGTCTCCTGGAAAGTCGGGCATGTACATCTGGAGAATAGAAGTAAGATGGAAGTTTAAAATATCTACTTTAGAGAAATCTTTTGAGAAGTATAAATAAAACTGCAGGGCTTAGGAATAAATAAGGATTGTAAGGGAAAGAGAATATGATTTTAAGAAATAGCCCATCGGAGAACTCTGGCAATGGTGGGTATTGGGAGAGTAGGAGGAAGAGGGAAGTCTGTGAAAGACCTAAGTAGGAAAGGTGGGCGAGGCACAGTGAATGTATTCTTGCCCCCCTCCCATGAACATGGATGCTACAGCTGATAGAAGCACATGGTTTATTTAGGGTTGGAAATTGATTTTATATATATATATATCTATATATATATCTATATATATAGATATATATATATATTTATTTATTTATATATATAAATAAATTTATTTTACATATATATAAATAAATATAAATAAATAAATATATGAATATATATATATATATATATATATGTGTGTGTGTGTGTGTGTGTGTGTGTGTGTGTGTGTATCAGAAGGTACTTCTGGTATTGGACACAAATTAAAGTGACATTTTAGCAAATAGGCAGAGAAGAGCTAGTCTGGCACAGACAAGGAGATCAACACCCAGGTGAGGAAGCATGGTGGCCTGGCAACCTCCACTCTGGTCCTGTAGCTCCAGCACATGAACCATACCATGTCCTTTTTGCCAGGCTGATACGTCTAGAACACCTTTCATCAAGCACCTGCTCTGGATTAAAATCTCACTACACATTCCCCCTTTGGCTGTATAAAAGACAAAACCCAGCAAAGTGTTTTGTCCAAACCAAAGAGAAGAGCTGCTCTAAAAGGATGACATTAAATATAAAATACTCCCAAACCATGATGTTCCTTCGTTGTGGCAAGTCAAGCCAGTGTCTGATGTTTAGAAACACCAGTTTCAACAGGTAAAAGGGTGGGGGTGGTGGGGGTTTCTACCATAGAGTTGGGCATGTTGCATACAGGGTAGGGCAAAAGTAGGTTTACAGTTGTCTGTATGGAAAATAATACAATGATTAATACATTATAAGACAAGAATAAACTGTTTCGTGCAGTATTCACGACTGTAAACCTACTTTTGCCTCACCCTATATTCATGGAAACAGTGATATGTTGTAAAGCAAAATTAACACACAAGTTAAAGAAATGACTAGAAGAGTTATGTCATTATACTCTTAAAGATCTGATACCTTTAAAAAGTTAATGATTTAATAAACACAATTTTAAAGGACAAGAACACTAGAATTATTTTCTTAAATGATGAAAAGCTGATGAATGAGTTAAGACAAATGTCAAAGCAAACAGTAAAATAAATAAATAAATAAATAAATAAATAAATAAATAAATAAAAATGAACACTTACTGCTTTGCCCGAAGAGTCAGCTAAGGAGCTAGCTATGCTCAACAGGTAGCACTAGAATCTCTAAGACACATGGCAAGGGCCCCCTCAACCTTTTAATCTGGAGGCACCTGGCTAAGGGTTGGCCTGCCTTGTGGGCAAGAATACTTTTCTGCCCTCACTCAGCCTAACACTAAGCACTGGTTTGTGAGCAGTAAAGGGTACATTAGAACATTTCATCTCAAAATAGTTTTCATGACACAATGATCTATCTCTCTGATACAACTGGCCTCAATTCTGGCTTTTCTTCCCCATTAGAATATTAGAACAAAATCAGGTTTGGAAGCATGAATTCTGTCTGTCAGTAATCAAATATCTGTACACAAATAGAATTACTTTTATTTTGAAATTTGGTCTTGAACATGAACTATAAAACAATAACTATGAACCTTTTGAGTTAGAAATAATTTGGGAAAGTCCACAGTTCTAAGCCCATAAAATTAGCGATATGTATTATTAATCATAAAAATGAAGTATGTTTATATAATTCCTATTTCTACCATGTTTGGGCATGACTAAATCGGACATCTTCATTTTTAAAGCGCTCAATATTTGCTTAGAGTTTTATTGTCTCCTGGGATGTACTTAACTTATTAATCTGCACACCTTTGAGAACACTAGAATATTCTGAATAGAAGCAACTCTAAAGTTTCTCTTTTAAATAAATCATATTCTCCTAAAGGGTCAAGGGTAATTTAGTTTAATACCTGACCATTAAAATTACAGCACAAACTGCTTCAATACCGACCTCTGCGAAGTTCACATTTCTCAAGTACAAATGGAGCACAAAAGCAATCCATCTGTGTATAAAAACACTTTTATTGTGTTCCCGGAAGGCTGTCCTTTACAAAGGCATAGCTCTAAACAGCGTGTATGGAACGAGCAGCTCTGAACATGTAGTAAATACCCTACCATGGCACACATTTTTAGGGGAAAATGGAATTCTAAAAAGGGCATTTCAAAGGCTGGTAACGCCACAGTTACTTGAGAAGCATTCCATGTTCTTTCCTTGGAGCCTTTCCTTTAATTGGGTTGCACACTCCGTTCTTTTGTGTGTAATCCTGGAAAGCTCGCGTGGGGGAGGAAGCCTGTACGCCCCACGGGCAAGCGCGCCAGGAGAGTCCTCGCTGTTGTGTTCCTCGGTCTCGTCTTCACGTAACACGGTGACTCCTGCGGAAGCACACGCACACATATCCCAGGGGACGTAAATCATTCATGAGCTTATAACATCTGAGATGTCAGACACAATGGAAATTCCAAGAACCGGGAAGAGCAAGGAGGATGCATAAGCGCCACGTGGGCGAGGGAAGGGCTGCAAAGGTCAAGTTCCTGAGATGGTTCCCCGCTCCAGCTCTAGCTCTGCGCCTCCTTTCTTGGCTGAGGGCTGTGCCCGTGACAGATGGGAGCGTCCGGGCTGCCAGAAGCCAGGGGCCTCCTTCCTGGACGACTGCGGCTTCTCACGTGGCTCCTTCCTTATCTCCTGGGAAAGAAGGAGGCGCATTCTTCTGCCCCAGAGCAGCTCCAGACACCCTGCTGAGGGTTGCCTCCCCCATCACCCCGTGCCAGGCTGGGCGAGGGGCTTTGTGGCCACCCAGTTCTGCACGCCCCTCTTCTGCAGATCTGAAGTTCCAGAATGGGTGCCCTGTGCCCTTTGGGGACAATCAGCACCTTGAACGTGGAAACCCAGCCCTGAAGGCAGCACAAGAAGGTGCTTTGGCTTTCCCCTGCCTCCAGCACCCGCGTCCCCCAACTCCCCACAAAGAGACCTCTGGGTGCCTGAGGATCCTTCCTCTTCTAGGGACCTTGGTTCAGGTGAATGAAGCTATGATTCTCTCCTTTTTTTCTTAGTTTTAAAACCAACGAGGTGTTCCCTCCTTTTCCCCTCTCCAGGGTCGGTATTCCTCCATTCCTACAATATGTAAACTCAAGGAATGTTCTCGTCCAAGGCTGCTCGCTTCGCCCCAGGACCCCGGAGCTTTCCCAACAGGAACTTTGAGAGCAGGGAGGTAGACAGACAACTCAGCACCCCCTAAAACGGACACTTTTCACCCCCAGCTGGCGTTTCCCTTCCCGTTCCACAGGCGGCTCGGGTCAGGCTCCTGTGCCCACTCCACCTCCACCTCCACTTCCGGGGCTTGGTGCCAGTCACCCCGACTCCTTCCCCAAGGTCTGCGCAGCCCCTTCCCAGGTGCCGCCCCTCCTCGGCTGCCTCCCCCTGTCCACCCCCCCCCCTCCCAGGTCCTCCTCGACCCCTCGGCCCCTCGGCCATCCACGCGTCCTTCTTACCTCCTAGTCTGGTCAAGAGAAGTTCTGAACCACCTGAGTCTAAACGGTTTCAGTCCTGAGTCAGGCAGAGTATTTTTAAAAACAACTATGAAAAGGTCTCTAGAAACTTTGCTGTCTCCAATGCTCCGGTGCGGCTGCGGCGAGCACACGGAGCACACACCGGGGGGCGCAGAAGCAGGGATCGGGGTGCCCCCAGGACCGGGCGCCAGACCGCGGGCAGCTGCGCAGGGACAGTCACCGCGCTGCCCGCCCCCGGCGGGGACTCGCCGTGCTGCTTGGGCATCAAGACAATTTTGAAATGGGCTTGGGAAGCGGGGACCAGAAAACGGTGATTCTAAACACACACACATACATCGGTGGGTCTGTCCACCTCCTGCCACTGAGCAGTGCTGCCCGACAGGCTACACTTTTGAGAGCAGACCAGGGGGGAGGAGGGGTGCATGGGGTATAAACTGTCCTCCGAGGCACATTCGTCTCGGACCTGACAGTCCCTGTCGCCTACACGACTCCTCAATCTGGATCCAAATCAGCCCCACGCACAGGGCGAAGGGGACCAAGGCGCTCCCGGAGCTCTCAGCACCCCCTCTCCACCTCCAAGCAGAGCCCCCGGGGCAGAGGCAGGTGCGGCCCCCGGATCTCCGAGCAACAAGCGCGCCGCCTCCGGGAGGCCCGGCCCCGCGCCGCCGGGTCCCGCGCGGGTCACCTCTCCCCGCCCCCCGCCCTGCCCGCGGCGCCCGGCGGCGGGCGCGGGGGAAGGAGAAAGCCGGGCCGGCCACTCACCCCCAGCTTCCTGCTGCGGATCTTCACGTAGCCCTGCTTGACGATGTCGTTAAAGTTGGAGGCCATGCCAGCGCGCTGGGCTTCCGCGCGTCCGGAGCCGCGGTCCGCAGCCAAGTGCGCGCAGGTCCCGCATCCAGCCAGCCGCCGGCGGCAGCGCGCCTCCGCCCGCCCGGCGCCCCGGCGCCCCCCGCGCCCGCGGGAGGGGACAAGGGCTGGGCGGCGGGGCGGCCGCGGGCTGGGACCGGGCCTGGAGCCTGGAGCAGCGAGCGGCGCCCGCCCTCTGCGCGCGGGTCCCCACCTTCGCCCCCGCCACCCCGGCAGCTCCCGCGGGCGGGCGGGCGGGCGCCTCACTGGGTGGCGCACCGCTGGCCGCAGCGCACCATCGAGGCTCCGGGGCTCAGGGGGAGGGGAGGGGCGGGGGGCGGGCCGATTCGCCGCGTGGCTCCCTCCCCCCCGGCCTGCGGGGCGGCTGGGCTCCGAGAGGCTGGCCAGACACCCTCCACCACTCCCGCCCCTGTGCCCCGGCCCCAAGTACTCCCAGATTCCAGAGGACAAGCGCCTATGCCAGGCTCTGGACCTCCACTCCCGAGGGGACCCCGGGAAACATGGGTGGCAGGGATGCTTCCAAGGAAAAAGGCAAGTGGGAGCGAGGAAATTGTGTATTGCAAAGGCCGTGTGTGCGGTGCATTTTTTTATTCCCGGGCTCAGGCTCGCTGGCTGGCCAGGTCTCTGCCCCGTTAGGAAGTGTGGATCCCAGCCAAGCCCTTACCGGTGCACACAAAGAGACCAATCGTGCGCATGTGTCTAATCCCTCCGCTGCCGGAGACGCGAAACACTCGGGCGAGGCAGCCGGTGGCCCGCCTCCTTCCCAATGAGCAGCCGGGGTCGGAGCGGATAGATGGAGGCAAGCGTTTTGGTTTTAACTGTGACCGAAAGTGGATCCCGGCTTTGTATCTCTTAGGGGACATGGGGACCATCGCTGTTACCTGAAAGCAAGTGATTTATTGAACCGACCGACTTGTAAAAAACAAGGAAGAACTTTCTCCCCTCAATGTAGGAACGCATGACATTTTAAAATAGACTATTCTCCGTGGTTTAGAAATTGTAATTTAAAATGTTATCATTTTTATAAGATTCAAGGAAAATATAGAAAGTATTGCATTTTGGCTGGGGGCAATATATGGATTTTTGCTATAGGGATGTAAGAATATATGAATAGTTAGTGTCTTGGTAGTTTGGGATTTTTCTAATTAAGAAAAAAAATGTGTAAAGATTTTAAATTTTACAACGGACTCCTTTATTTATAGAATCCGTATTTAGTACAAGTTCAAAAGATCATGTTTCTTTCTGCTCATTATAGGGAGTAGCATTTTCCCATGTTTTTCAGGTGAGATTTCTTAGCCCTAATGGGAACACAATAATATTAAGAGAGAAAGGAAATTATTTCATTGAGGAGAAAAAAAAATGTGAAAGCTAAAATAACAAAATAGGATGCCCTTGACCCCAACCACATTGACACCTCTGGGGTGATTTTTGTCCCATCGTTATTAAGAGTCTCCATATAGCCCAATAGGAACTCTAACTTGCCTTATCAGCATATTATTCCTTTTCATTCATTTATGCAGCAGACATTTGTTTGGTTTATCAAGCATGCAGAGCACCAGATGCTGGGGCATATACTTAAGACCACATGGCAAGATTCCTTAGGCTGTCACTCTGGAAGGAGCTCAAACTCTGACCTTCCCAGAAAAAAAACTGCATAAACTCCGTTTAACTCAATGGGATTCCTTCTTCCAAATACCTGGGCATGTCCCATTCATTTGTTACTAATTCATACACCACATGGCTATTATTCTTTTGTTTATAAGGAGACTTTTATATTTTCAGATGCTTTAAATACATTATTTCATTCAGTCTGCTTTGAAATTCCATGTGTTATGCAAAAATTATTTGCCAGGCATAATAGATGAGGGAACAGGCTCAGAGCCCTCAATTGCAGAGCTATTATTTCAAGATTGGTTTTGGGTCTACAATCATTTCCAATTCCACCATTATTTCCACAAATCAATTGTAAAATATTTGAAGTCATGGATTAATTTTGTCTCAACAGCAATCTTAGTACTTACTTAAGGGTGAAGTGTGGCTCATAAATCTGGTTTTTAATCAATACATAATGATTATGCCTTTGCACACGTGCTTGTGTAGGTCTTTTAACCCCCTAATATGACTTAAATTTGATTTTTAAATTTGTGTGTGTGCATGCCTATAGTAAATACCCTCTCCTTATTCTGTTTGTTTGCCACTTTGAAAGACTAGGTTATTTGTTAAATAAATTAAGTTGATTGTATTCTCATTATGCCATTTACTGTGGTCAACTAAGCCACCAACTTCCTGCTGACTAGAAATGTGACTTAGAAATTTAAGTACATTCTTTTTGTCTTTCCAAGAATAATTTATAAGAAAAAAAAAAAAAAAGCATGTGGCAAAATTGAGCAACCACTTATGATAAAAACTCTCACCAAAGTAGAAATAGAGGTAACATAGCTCTACATAATAAAGGCCAGTTAAGACAAACCCCAAGCTAACATTAGATTTAACAGTGAAAGTTAAAAGCATTTTCCTTAAGATCAGGAACAAGATAAGAATGTCCACTTTCACCATTATTATTTAGCATGATATTGGAAGTCTTAGTGACAGCAAACAGACAAGAAAAAGCAATAAAAGGCATCCAAATTGGGAAGAAAGAAATAAAACTGTCATCATTTGCAGATGACTTATGTTCTATATAGAGAAGCCTAAAGAATTCACCAAAAAGTACTAAAGTTGATAAATTAATTTAGAAAAGTAGCAGAACACAAAATTAATATTCAGAAATTGTTGCATTTTTATCAGAGAAATTAAGAAAACAATCCAATCTACAATTGCATCAAAGAATACCTAATAATAAATTTAACAAAGGAAGTACAAAACTCAAAAAATTATAAAACATTGAAGAAAGATATTGAAGAAGATATAAATAAATGGAAGTATAAACCATGCTTAGAAAATTAACATTAAAATGTCCATACTACCCCAAACAATCTATACATTCAAGGCAATCCCTGTCAAAATACCAGTGACATTCTTCATAAAAATAGAACAATCTTAAAATTTGTATAGAACCACAAAAAACAACAATACCCAAATAGTCAAAACAATCTTGAGAAAGAAGAATATGAAACCATACGGCAAGGCCGTAGTATTCAAAACAACATGGTACTGGCATTGGAACACACACAGATCAATGGAACAATATGGACAGTCCAAAAATAAACTCATGACTATGTAATCAATTAATCTCTGACAAATGAGGCAAGAATATACAATGGGATAAAAACAGTCTTTTAAATGAATGGTGTTAGGAAAATTGAACAGATGTATATAAAAACAAACAAACCCATGAAACTAGACCACTTTTTTACATTAGATACAGGAATAAACTCAAAATGAATAAAAAACTTAAATGCCAGCCAAAACCGGTTTGGCTCAGTGGATGGAGAATTGGCCTGAGGACTGAAGGGTTCCAAGTTTGATTCCACTCAAGGGCATGTACCTTGGTTGAGGGCACATCCCCAGTGCAGGGTGTGCAGGAGGCAGCTGATGGATGTTTCTCTCTCATCGATGTTTCTGACTCTATCCCTCTCGCTTCCTCTCTGTAAAAAAATCAATAAAATATATATTTAAAAAAACAAACAAACATAAATGCCAGAGCTTAAACCATAAAAACCTTAGAAGAAAACATAGCAGTAAACTATTTAGCATTGTTCTTAGTATATTATAAGGATATTTGGATATATCTTTTATGGCAAGGGAAACAATAGAAAAAAACTAACAAATGGAAGTACATCAAATGAAAAACATTAACAAAACAAAATGATAACCTATTATATGGGACTATATTTGCCAATGATATATCTGATAAGGGGTTAAAATCCAAAATAGTTAAAAAATTCATACAATTTAACACACACACACATACACACACACAAACAAATAAACAAACAAAAACACACACAGATAATCTGATTTAAAAATGGGTAGAGGACTTAAATAGACATTTCTCCATAGAGTACGTACAGATAGCCAATAGACACTGGAAAAATACTCAATGTAACTAGTCATCAGAGAAATGCAAATTAAACCACAATGAGACACTACCTCACACCTGTCAGAATGGCTATCTATATATATAAAAGCCTAAGAGACCGTCTGACCATTTGACATTGTGACCAATAGCTATGACATGCAATGACCAACAGGGAGCCGACGCTCAATGCAGGAGCTGCTGAGTTGTGGTGACTTGGAAGCTGTGGTTCTCACATGTTGCACTCGGAACCAGAGAGGAGGGAGCCCAATTCCAGGGTGTGTCACCTGAGAACCGCCCTCTCGCAATCTGGAACCCCACAGGGATGTCAGAGAGCCAGTTTTGGCCCAATCCCCACAGAAAAGGACAAGGGACCCCACCAGGGCACGAATCTGTGCACCAGGCCTCTAGTCTTTAATAAGTCAAAACAACAAATGTTGGTGAGGATGTGGAGAAAAATGAACCATCATGCACTGTTGGTGGAAATGCAGATTGTAATAGCCACTGTGGAAAGCTGTATGAAGACACCTAAAAAATTTAAAAAAAATAGAACTACTATATGACACAGCAATCCCACTTCTGGCTATTTATCTGAAAAAAATCTAAAACATTAATTCAAAAAGATATATGCATCCCTATGTTCATTATAGTATTATTTACAATAACCAAAATACAGAAGCAACCCAAGTGTCCATTGATAGATGATTGGATAAAGTGGTACAAATATACAATGGAATTATTCCACCTTAAAAAATGAAATCTTACCATTTGTGACAACATGAATGCATCTAGAGCAGTGGTTCTCGACCTTTCTAATGCCGTGACCCTTTAATAAAGTTCCTCATGTCGTGATGACCCCCAACCATAAAATTATTTTTGTTGCTACTTCATAACTGTTTTTGGTATTGTTATGAATCATAATGTAAATATCTGTGTTTTCCGATGGTCTTAGTTTCTAAGCAGAGTCACCTAAGACCATCATAAAACACAGATATTTACATTATGATTCATAACAGTAGCAAAATTACAGTTATGAAGTAGCAACGAAAATAATTTTATGGTTGGGGGTCACCACGACATGAGGAACTTTATTAAAGGGTCACGGCATTAGAAAGGTTGAGAACCACTGATCTAGAGATAATTATGCTAAGTGAAATAAATGAGACAGAGAAAGACAAATACCATATGATTTCATTTATATGTGGAATTTAAAAAAAGACAAAAATAACGAACAAACAAAACAGAAAAAACTCATAGATACAGAGAACAAACTAATGATTTCCAGAAGGGAGGCAGGGAGAGTACTGGGTGAAAAAGATGAAGGGATTAAGGTGTACTAATTAGTAGTTACAAAATAGTCACAGGTATGTAAAGTATAGCATAGG